TTTTGATTCTAATAATTTACTCATGAAACTCCAAAGAGGTTTCATTTCAAATGATTTGATATACAAAGATTTTATAAGTCTTTTAGTTTTGAATAACACTAGATTTTAATGAAGTATTTTAAATCTTAGTTGAATAACACCAAACTTTTAAAATCTAATGTAGTATAAGATCCAATAACACCAGATTTTAAAGTTAGATTTAGAATCATTAGTTGAATAACACTAGATTAATGTTGGATTTCAATTCTATTAAAATCCATCACTAAATAACATCACTGAATAATGCCACCATATTCAATTATATTATAATGTTAGATTAAGAGCTCTTTAAGGACCACCAATGCATAGCCGTCCTTATATATTTTAAGGCTACAAGCGACAGAAAAAAAAAGGCCACTTTTCATATGTTCATAAAAAAAAACTTTTTTGACTAAACCAAATATAAAACTGGATATGTTTAACGAAAGCCTAAACATTTTAAAGCATCATAGATCACTACAAATTTTTTTCCTTGTTGAACATTATAATATAATTGAATATGGTGGCATTAGAACAAAACGTTGACAACAGACTCTTGGAACAAAACGTTGCTCCAATTTGGAAATTGGAACAAAACGTTGACAACACAAAAAAGAGACTTTATCTCCTTCCGTTGGTAAAAATTTAACCCATTAATTATATTATATATGTTTATGGTTAATGATTGAAGAAACTTGGATTAAAAAGATAAGAAGTTTAAAAGCAAAAAGAAGAAAAACTTACTAAATGAAACCGGAATTTATAAGATGAATTCTAGTACATGTATGAAATACTGAGGCAGAATTGATGATTTGAGAGCAAAAAGGATAAAAAATTTAGAACAGTAATGTTTATGATGCTAGAGGAAGACGAAAAATCTATTACTAATAAAAAGAGCTCATTGAAGCTTCTCCTTGTGTCCACATCAGCTTTCTAACAAATACTTCTCCAAATGCCACGTAGCAAATCGTTTTAGAATTGTTTCCTTAACCCTTAGAGACAGAAGACGTCAGCCAATAAAATGGAACCTCCCAAAAAAAAATCTCATAAAGCGCCTTTCGAGATAATCAATATTCAATCATTCGAAACGTTCCCTTAAAACAGAGTCTTATTAACCCTAAACCCATTGTCTCCCACGATCTCTTCGGTTTCAAGCTTATCATCTCCTATGGCTTCCCAGTATCTCATTTTTAATCCCAATCACGTATCTTATAGATTCAATTTCATAAAATTGTTTGAAGCTCCTCTCATCTCACCCCCAAAATCTACACTTCCTTATTGAATGGAAAATAGCATCGGTAAGATATTGGCCTTCTTCTTCATCACTTCAATTTATGGGTATTTAGAAATTGCATCTTCCTCATATATTGAATTCATGTTGTTTTGCTCATGTAGGGATTTTTTTTTGGGTTTGTGTAGTCATCAAGAAACACAGAGTCACTGGCTGATCAAATCATCACAAGAAGAAGTGAATGCAGGAGAACATCGGCAAGTCAAGTGTGGGTGCATCTCGAAATAAGCGAGAAACAAGAACGACAGAATGGGGTATGTTATCAAGGAGAGTTCAGCGTATCTTCATCCTTAATTTGTCCACCTACCAGTTATAATCTATTAATTAATTATCTCTGTTTTCGCATATACTCTGTGTTAAGGTTGGCCTCAAAGATGAAGTACCGTAATTATTGGATGATTGAAAATTCCCCACAGAAAAAACCCTCATGGATACGGAAACAAAGGACTCGAAAATGACAGTGATGTATGATCTCATTTACGGTTCTTTTGAGAATAGTGTGCCTATTACAGGTTCCATGCCTAAATCATTGAAGAATCTATAGGCCTTAGTGCATGCCTTAAGTCTAGGTTCTTACTTTTTACTTTTTTGTAGTCTCTTTATAGGTGTCCAAGAGACCCGAGCTGGTGGCTTATACAGGTGAAAAGAGCTATTAAGGATGTATCAAGTGTCATAATTAGGACTGTTAATATTCCTACACTTGGTAAAAGGTAAGCACACATAAATAACAAGTAACTCTCGCCGATACTTGGAGAGCTAGGTACTTAAAGCTTCTTTACGTCTTACCTACGTTTTATTTTGGATGAATGAGTTTGTGGTGTAGCATCGAATTAGTAATGTTTAAAAAATCATATATATGAAAGGAGGCTATCTCTCTCCATATGGTCGCCACGTCAGCATTTTAGGCTCTTCTGGAGATGCCACATCAGCTTTCTTTCCATCCAATCAAAACATTTCATTAATATGAGTCAGCTTTAATTTTTTACACATCAGCTTCTAATTATAAATGTCAAATGGGGAAAACACAATAGCCTATGAGGGATGACCCATATGAATTTGAAAATCTATTTCACAAGTTAATAATATATTTATTATTTAATTATATATATTATTTAATTTTACATATTGATTTTTACTAATACTAACTTATTTTGTTATTTTATGTTTTTTTTCCATGAAATTATTTTATTGGTTTTATATACTCCAAAGTTTTTTTCGCTAATTTTTGTAATCTTAACTCAAAATATGAGTGGATAATAGTATAGTGGATTAGCTAATGGTTTGAGTAAGTTTTTCTCTTAATTTTTTTATCTATATATGACACTGAGGGTGAAGAGTACGTAAGGTCATCAAATTTTGGAGGTTCTATAATCCCAACATTACCATCTATAAAATTGGTTTAGGAAAGATTGTTTACGGATTGTGTGAGTGATGCATTGTTGAGTATGTTGGTTAAAAATATATTTTAATACTAAGAGTAGTTGTTCATTGTACGAGTAAATGATTAGATAATTAAAAATTATATTTATCAAAATATAACATCAAATAAATCAACAAGAACAATCAAAATAATTTGTTATTAGCAACTTTTAAAACAAACCCACGCGTAGCGTGGGTATTCATCTAGTTAACATAAATTTCCCACATGCTTTCTAACCTTGTGATTTTGTCTTACCACTTCATTTAATAGAAACTTTCACACTGTGAATGTAGAATGTATAACATAAATCGACTTAACCCAAAAAGTGTATTGTTAAGATGTAGTATTAACTACATGTACAAGTTACTTAAAAAGTGTAGCACAGCAAAACACATGAATTAGTTCATCATAATGTAGGTCTGAGTGAATATTGTTGTGAAGAAAAGATTGAGCTACAGGCTGAAGTTTGTCACTAATTAAGTAAAGAACGTCGTTTGAAAGGTACATATACAAGTTCGAGTCTTTAGAATGGAATGTGAATGATATTGCTGGTAATACTGCTTTTCACCAAGCTTAGTTCTAATGTTTAATCTTTCAAATTGATATTTATTTCAAAAAACATTCACTGGATTGAGGTTTCTATATATAGTCACAAAATTGAGAAACAAACTATGCACACTTTTGTTAAAGATCTAGAATGTTTGTTGGAGTTTCTAATTAGATTAGAACATGGCACCAAAAACTGAAACTGTCTAATTAGGATTCTTTTAGACACAAATGTTTTTGAATGATTGTGGTTTACACCAAATTCTGAAATTGAGTAGGATATGTGATATTCTCTTAAGGGTGATTAGTAGTCACGATTATTGTATTGAGTATAATGTGTCAGTGAAATTGTTAAATTCTCAACTACTTTGCCGAAGCAAAACTTAAAAGATGATGTTTGTTAATTCATCAAAGAATTTAAACCTATATTTGGCTGCAAGTTCATTTGAGAAATTTGGAAATTTCAACCCTGCTGGTCAAATACTCAAATCGTCTCTATATTTTGTGGGGTTCAGCAAATTAGCTTCTAAATTTGAAAAATATTACTATTTGTTAGAGATAACCGGGCTACGCCCGGATTTTTCCCTAGTTAGAAAGAAGATGGAACGATGACAGCCTTAGGTTAATTAAGTTTTCAGGATTTTTTTTATATTTTCTAAAAAATAAAATTTTATCAGATTTTAAATGAAAAACGAAAAAAAAAAATTAATGAAAAAATAACCTTGTTGGAGATTTGAACCCAAGACATGTAGGTAAGAATGGACAAGATGCTACCACTAGACTACATAACAATTTCTAAAATTTTGGAGCCGAAAATTTATATATATTTTGTGAGGCCGCAAGCTTGGGCTTGCCCAGCTTGTATCTGTGGCCGGCTCTGCACCAATGGACTTGCTCTTAACAAAGATGATTACAATTACACAAGAAAAGAGTCGAGCTACACCAGTTGACCACATGAAGACAGCTTCTCAAAAGTGTTTGGCTCCAAGTAAATTTAGGGTTGATAAGAGAGAGCATATCAGATTGGGCATTGATGATAGGTGTAACATAGAAAAGTCCTCATTCCAGTTTGACACGTTCCGTGTCGTTATCACACCTTCCAGCTGCGCAATGAAAAAAAATCAAAATAACAGTCAGGACTCTTATCATGCATGTGCACAAGTCTTAGTTTCAGTTTACATACCTTGGCAATCTGTCGTGTTGGTGCAGGAATTAGCACCTCCGACAATACCGGCTTAAACCGGACGAATTACGAATCAAATTGGGAATCCGATTTAAACCGGGAAATCCCAGTTAAGCCTGTTAATGGGCTGGAAACGGAGATCGCCAGGCGAGCTCAACTCGAATACAGGAGATTGCCTGCAACCGACTGCCTCATTCAAGAAAAAGGAGATTTTCCTAGAAGAAAAAGGAGAATCCCGAAAAAAAAGGAAAATCAGAAAATAAAGCCTTGAAGATTTAGAAGATTAACATATCTCTAAACCGCGCTAAACTGGTAAAAATAGAGGGGTTTGTCCTCTATTCAAGGGATCTGCAACTTTATATAAAAAAACCCTAATTGTTCTTAAGCAAAAACCCTAACTTTGTCTCTAAGTAATAAAGTCAATCTTTTCTTCGAATCTTTGATCAGAGTTTACAAGAGAGAATAATTGAATTTGTTTTCCTCCTTAAACAAATTCATTGTGTGATTTTTGGAATCAACATGTCGCAAGAAGAAATCACCATAACGTTTGCGGGTTTTGATTCCACAACGTAGATCATGTTCTGCAGTTTCACCAGATTTAGAGTTACTTCTAAAAGCACCAGAGTATCGATATCGGAAAGATATGGAAAGAACATACATTGTTGATTTAGAAATCAATGTCTGCATTGGAGATGATCCTACCATCGGAATCAACTGAATGGGTCTTGTGCTTGTATGTTAACAATATGGTCCTGCAAATTAAAACCCCGTACATGTCAAAGATATAGAAAAAAAAGTAGATTGCGGAGAGACTTTTGGTAAAAGCCATCTATCTCGCCATGGTTGCTCCCTCACCTTAGAGTGGGCTCATCAACTTCCATGTAGTTTGCGAGCTTAGCAAGAGAAATGGAGGAGTAGACTTTCAGGAATGTTCGCACTCCCGACAAGAGCTGCTGCTGCTTTACCTCATAAAGGAACATCTTCAACTGAAGCCTGTATGCATCTTGAGATAATTCAAGCTGGGAAAGTTAAACACACAAAGAGTCCTCGTAAATTTTGTTTTATAAAGAAACTGGTGGAGTAGTAACCTGATTGTAATTGACAAGAGGTTCCTCGAAACTTGGTGGGGAAGGGGTGATAAACTTGGGGCATGCATAAGAGAAGAGCTCATCGTATATACCAAAGGCCTCATCGTCATACCTCAGCATCCTCATCATCTTTTCACCATACTTGTCTCGCAACTGAGAGCTGACAGAGTCGTCAACGAGTTTAGGTTGAGAGCAGAGGCCATCAGTAGCCATCAGTGGCAGTGAACTGTTCAAGGCCATGCTTGTCTTGCTCAAGAATTTGGATGATACAAGACTTTTCCACAAGTGCTTGCAAGAAGTTGAGCACGCCATAGACATTCCATGCCTAAGGAGGTAAGTAACACAACAATAGAGGTATGTAAGTAAGTAACACATTTGGTTGATGAATCGAATCGAATGAAAATCATCATAGGGACCTTATCATGCTGTCTGAGCAATGCAATCTCCTGCTCTGTTTTGTTCTTGAGCTTTGCTCTGAACTGACAGAAACTTTGGAACTGGTAGACAAACTCATCCACCATATCCCACAACCACTGGTTCGGCAACTGCATATTCACTACCCCATGCAACACCACCTAGAAGAAGCCACTTACCAATTCAAATTCAAAGAGTTCAAAGAATCCAAAATCCAAATCAACACACATCAGACCTGAAAGAGGCTGCAATAGTTGTCATAAGAATCAATCCTCTGCTTCAACGTAGGAGATAACCTCGCATACAAATGTCGAAACCACATCTCACGGTACAGAAGACAGAACACATGGTCGTTGTCTACGTATGGAGCTATGGCCTCCACACTTGGCCATGACGTCTCCTTGAACAGACGTTCCGATATGCTCTGGAACGATGTCTCACACATCTGGTGGATCTCGTACACGTTCTTCTCCCTTATGTGTCTGTACATGTGTACCACGAACGATTTCACAGAATCCGCCACCATATTTGGGTGTACCCGCTCTCCCCGCCGCTCTCCCTTTCGTACTCAGCAATTTCCATATTGCGTAGAACCTGCTTAATCAAATAAATAACAATTCATAAGCCATGGTTTTCTTGAAAAAGAGATTAACAAAGTCAAAAGATGTAATGCTGCATAGTTTAAGCTATGAGAGGTATTCCAATCACTGAAAAACGAAGGCTTTGCTCTATAAATCTGATCCATACACAGCTAAAAAATCGTATCTCTACTTTAGCAGAAACAAAATCAATACTGATAGAAAAAGAAGTAAACTTTAAACAAGTCAAACTTAAACTTCTTCTTCTTAGTATCGATCTAAACATGTACGAATCAAAACTAGTAAACTTTTAAAGGCAAATCCAAACTTAAAGCGAAACTATTGAATCCAAAGAAGAAGAGAAAACTGAACCTTGGGATCGTTATGTTTCTTTTGATCAGAATGTCGAAACACTCACAGAATGGCTGCGTCTTCGGAGAGTGACGACGAATCTCTAGCAAATTGTTTTACCCAGATTTTTGGGTTTTGTGAATTGTGAATTGTGAAATAGGAATGTTTTTTCAACAACGCAAAATCGAAAACCCTAGCAAAGTGAATTTTAGAGGAGTAGAGAGAGGCGAGAGAGGAGAAAGGAGGAGGAAGGTATTGGGCCTATTTGGGAAAAGTGATTCCGCAATAATTTTTGGCGGGAAAATTTTTGGCGGGAACATTTTACAAGGTATTTTAAAGGTTTTAAAGGGTATTTATAAGGTTTTACAATGTATTTTAAATGGTTTTACAACGTATTTATAAGGTATTTATAAGATATTATAAGATTTTATAACCTATTTTATAAGGTTTTACAAGTTATAAGGTTTTACAAGTTTTTTATAAAGTTTTACAAGTTATAAATACCTTATAAAACCTAATAAGTACCTTGTAAAACCTTTTAAAATACATTGTAAAAACCTTACAAAACACTTGTAAATACTCTGTAAAACCTTTAAAATACCTTGTAAATTTTTCCTGCCAAAAAATTTCCCGCCAAAAAAATTGCGGAATCACTTTTCCCGCAAAAAAAAAATTTTGGCGGGAAAATTAGGGATCACGTTTCCCGCCAAAAATTTGCGGGATCACTTTTCCCGCCAAAAAATATTTTGTATTTTGTGGACCTAATTTTACTTCAAATAAGGGTAAAATGGTCATTAAAAATTAAAAGAGGGCAAACTTAAAAATGGACTCTCAAAAGGGGTATTTTTGAAAAGGTTATCTCAAAAGGGGTATTATTAACGATTTCTCTTTTTTTTATAGTGAAATCATATATACTAAAGTTGGTCTACTCTTTCGATATGAGTAACACATCATTACTTTACCACTAGATTTTAACTCGCGGTGTACCGCGAGATGATTTATTTAAAAAAGTTAGTATATATAAAATTTTAAAAATTGTATCTCCTTAAAATATAAATATTTTATAGTTTACAATTGTTATTAAGTCACAAGATATCACGAGTCCACGAGACAATTGTTAATAAACTGAGAATTTAACCCGTATTAAAGAGGCATGTTAATGATATTTTAAAATTTTATAAATATTGATTCAAATCCGTCCACCATATAAACATGTTCCAAAATATAACCCGTCCCGTAATTTCTTAACCCGTCCCGTGATTTGTTTTCTAAAAGTAGTGATTTTAAAATTTAATGATTATTTATTATATATAAAAGTTTACAAATTGTATCATTCTCTAAGATATTTATATTTTAATAAACTGAGAATTTAATCTGTATTAAAGCGGCATGTTAATGATATTTTAAAATTTTATAAATATTGATTCAAACTCGTCCACCATATAACCCCATTCCAAAATATAACCCGTACCGTGATTTATTTTCTAAAAGTAGTAATTTTAAAAATTTAACGATATTATAATATATAAAAGTTTGCAAATTGTATTATTCTCTAAAACATTTATATTTTATAGTTTACAATTGTTATTAAGTAACATTATACCACGAGACAATTTTTGGTATTATGTCATTTTTCCTAAATGAGACTGGTTTGATTCTATATATAATAGCAATCTAATAAATACCATTTGCACATCTGAACGGTTGCGTCTTTTTATCGCAACCTTTCGTTTAAATTGGTTATTTTTTACGCTTATTTTGGTTGCGTCTTTTTTTCGTAATTTTTGTTTTAATCGGTTATTTTTTTACGGTTATGTCGTTTCCAATAAATACCATTTGTACATCTGAACGGTTGTGTCTTTTTATTGCAATCTTTCGTTTAAATATTTATGGTTGTTTTTCTTACAGTTATTTTTGTACGGTCATGTTGTTTTATTGAATTTCTTTTTACGTAAACCAATAAACTACATATAAAATTGGTTTATTTCATAGTTTACATATGGATATATTTTTAATTTTTAAACTAAAATTTCTATTTTACGGGTATGTTTTTTAGAAAATTGCAATCTGAATATCTTCTGCGGTTGCTTCTTTTTATTGTACCTCTTCATAAACAGTTGCAACCTTTTATTCGAATTATTGCAATATTTAGTTTATTTCACGAACAATTGCAACCTTTAGTTTATATCACAAACAATTGTAACCTTTGATTTATATATTTAGTTTATTTCACGAACGATTGCAACCTTTGATTTATATATTTTGTTTTGTATTTCACGAACAATTGCAACCTTTGTTTTATTTTACAAATTGCTATAACATCTAATTATCTACCGTCGCGTCTCTCGGTATAATTTTCATAAATTAATATTTTTAATTTTTAAATACCAAAATGCATTTAAATGAGATTGTAATCGTTTAATTGAACCGTTGAAACATTTGGTTTATTTGACCAATCATTGCAATTTTTGGTTTTGTTTTACGAACCATTGTAATCTTTAGTTTATTTGACGAACTTGACGAACCGCTACAACTTTTGATATATCGCAACATTTCATTTATTTCTTTTTAAACTAAAAAAATTATTTTACGTTATGTTTTTTTAGAAAGTTGCAATCCGAGTAAATATTTTTTACGGTTGCATCTTTTTATCGTAATTTTTCATGAAATGATTGCAGCCATTTAGTTGAACCATTGCAACATTTAGTTTATTTCACGAAAAATTGCAACTTTAAGTTTATTTTATAAATCGTTATAACATTTAATCATCTACCATCGTTATTATTAATTTTCGTTTGATATTTTTTTTAACGATTTTTGAAATATTTTCCCCCGCGACATCGCGGGGGTCCGGAGTCCTAGTATATCTAATATTGGTGGTATTAAAAAAATATTAAGGATTTAATCCGTATTGAAACGGTGGATTAATGATATTTTAATTTTTTTATTATTGTTGATTCAAAAACATGTCCGGCCGTCCCGCCAAAAAACCTATTTATTTTATTAATGTTGATCTTATTTATGATATAATTCTGAATTATTGTCTAAATATTTTAGTCGATGTGGAACGTTGAACACACATTTTCGTCAATTGGATAATATATGTCCGTTTTTAAAATTTCGAATCACCGTATTTCGAATCGTCAATTGGATAAGATTTTTTTTTTACTTTATGTATTAATTTTTTATTACTTTATGTATTATATGATGATTCAAAACAGTTAAAAACTATTATAACTCGAGTGAGAAATCAATGTGGGAAGATGCTCAGTTGGAACCGATCGAAACTATTATAACTACGGAAATACTGGAAAGCCCAATCCAATCCTTAAGATGCCGGATTGACGGCTCTTGGAAATCTTCGGATCCAACTATGGGTATAAGATGGTGGTGTTTTCAAGGAAATGATCAAACAATATTGCTAGGTGCAAAGTGCTTCCGGAGATGCCCCTCCCCCCTTCACTCGGAGATGGAAGCCTTAATTTGGGCCATGAAGAATATTCTTTCAAGAAGGATCGATTGTCAGGCGTTTGAAACAGATTGCTCAGAGTTAGTCTCGATGGTACAATCACCTGAAGAATGGCCAGCCTTCTCCAATCAACTAGACGAATTTGGTTTGATTCGTGTTTCTTTCCCCTTTTTCTCGCTTTCCCTTATTTCTCGTTTATGTAATGTCAAGGCGGACTGCTTAGCCCGTTCTTCTCGTCTATTATTTACTGAAGTTACTTTTGTAAGCATTATTCCTCCTAATTGGGTAACCAATCAAAGAGTTTTTTAATAATTAATGTGTGGTTGACAAAAAAAAAAAAAAAAACAGTTAAAAACAAATCAAACGTGTAAGCCCCCTTGGCCCATTGGTTGAACAAGGGTTAATTAATGCTTCTACACCCAGAGGTCTGGGGTTCGAGTCCCAGATACTGCGATTTATTAATAAATTTGCAGATTATTGGAGGCAAGTGTGCAGGAGATCTCCAGCGATGTACAATTATAGCCGTTCGCCAGGATTCTACCCAAAGCGGGAAGTGTCCATCAAGAGCATAAAGAAGGAGATGAAGGAGGTGAGTATGAAGAAGAAGGTGAAGAAGGTGTTGTCTGTCGTGGATCTAATAAGGATCGGAAGGAATTGTCCGTTGTAGAATCGTCTATGTAACAGTTCTCATAATTTGCAATAAATAATAAATCCAGACGTTAAAAAAAAAAAACAAATCAAACAAAGATGATAGGAGAATCATAATTCTAAATCTTAATCAAATCTTCTAAATTATTAAATATGGAATATCCGGTGTATGAGTTGAGTTAAATATAACCCGACCCAACAAATTTTTTATGACCAAAATTTGTAAACGGGTCGGATATCCATTATATCCAAATGCATTTTGCCCCACCCGCTAAAATTGTACTTCAAAATACTAGTATAGATTTGTCATGTATCTACTAAATAATTAATATAAGTTTTACATTTTCTATTTCATATGTTAATGGTAAATTTATTATAATAACAAAATGATGTTTAATTTTACAGGACAAGGTTATATGGCAGGACGGAGTTGGGTCGATGTTAATACGGGACGGTATACTACGGGCAAAATCTTATAATTTAAAATAAAAATATAATTATATAATCTTAAACACTAAACTAACCAAACAATATTAACAAAACAAATATAACTTAAAATTTAAAGTTTTTAGTTTAAAAAAATTGACCCGCAATGTACTGGACAAAATTTTTAGATACAAATAATATCAAATTTTTATAATAGTCCATGATTATAAATGCTTGCCAATATTAACAATTTAACATCAATACAACTTACCAAATTTAGGTAACAAATACAACGTCTCAAAAACAATATTTATATATTTCAACTATATCAATTATAATATAAAATAAAAAATGAGAAATATTTTTTAAAATTATGAATTTAAAAATCTAATAAATTATAAATTATAAATTATTATATAAAATACATAAAATACAATTACACCGCGGGTTAAATCGTAGAATACTACATAATTAATGATGTTCAAAATAAATATATAAGCGGAATAAGATGGATGTACAAAATAAAAGCAAACATTGGTCTTATACATTGTTTTTATCGAGGACATGTTATATGACCAATGCTTTTAAACCCAATTCGGATAAGACATATGACACATGCATTTAGCCAGCACGTTTTAAATTCCCACAATACATATGACACATGCACGTAGCCGGCATGTTTTTTTGTTTGCTCGGAATACATTGTCCAGTAAGATAGGATTCCTTTTTGCAAGCAGTCTCACATATTTGGGCACCATTAGGTTTATTACAAGAATGTGGTGCAGTCTTGCTTGGGCCTTTGTTGTGACACAGATTTGCATTAGATGTTGAAATCGTCAACAAAATACATAAACTGAAAAAAACAACGACAATTATATTCTTAACCATGTTTGCTTTTTGTTTTTTCTAAGAATGTTCCGTTCTCTTTCTTTTGGTTGGAATGTTTGTATTTAGTTATTTATTATATATATAGATTTTGGTTTTCTAAAAATAAGAAGAAAAACGAGATAGAACCGTAAAAAATTCTTGTAAAGTAGTAGTTAGAAATAGAAAAAAAAATAAAAAATTCAAAGGATCATATATTTTTCCATGTAAAATAGTTAGAAATAGAAAAAAAAAAAAATCAAAGGATCATATATTTTTCCATATAATTTGCTATTTTTAGCTTATTTTATTATACAGTTGCAGAGAATCTAGCTAGGCCTAGTAATTTTTATTTTTTAAATCATTTATCTTCTTTAATAAAATAATGATCTAAGTTCCAAACTTTTTATTAATTTATACAGTTTTTTTCACGTAGTTGTGATAAATAGTAATCACCACAATTTACCACTAGAATATCGATTACCACCGGTTCTATCATCCGGTTTGGTTGGATTTGGTTTGGTTTGTTTAAATCTCAGTTTAATATTTTTCTGTTGTTTATTTATTATACCGGATTAGACCAAAATCTCTCTCAAATCTCAAATCTCAAATCTCAAATGTCTCAGCTTCTTCACCTTCACCTTCACCGTCTCTCTCTCCCACAATCGTCTCTTCGTTTCAGATTCCCGCCTTTACATCGCCGCCGTGCAGCTTCGTCACCGTCTAACTCAACTGAATCCACCGTGTTTCGTTCTCTCACACTCTCCAGATCTCAAATAACTTGCAGATTCAGCCAATCAGGTGAGACTTTTTTTTTTTTTAACTCTAATCGTTTTTCTTTTTTCGAGTTAATGATACATTCCCAGTGATTCTATTGGATTCTTAGCAACATCTTCTTCAGTATCTTAATGTTCAATGGAATCATCATATTCACTGATTATTGTAAATTTTCCAGATATTACGCCACAATTTGAATTGGATAAAGCACAAGACAATCGAAAACCACAAAAGCGAGCGAATGGCATATTTTGGATCATACTTATCAATCTTGGCATATATGTTGCTGATCACTTCTTTCAGGTATTGACTATGTGGCTTGTATTTAGATATCCTTCATCTACACGGTGTAGACTACTATTGTGACCTGGTTATCAGAAACATGATGTTTCATGTTGCTATGTTTTACATTGTATCATACGTTTATGTTATTTATTCGATATAGGTTCGCGGGATCAAATCTTTGTATTTGTATCACAATTTTCCGGCATGGTACCAGTTTGTGACTGCTACATTCTGTCATGCTAACTGGTGAGAGAGCTCTATGCTTTCTTTTTACTTTAGTTTTTTTTTTTCTCTGGCGGATGTTGATGTTTCTCGTGATTCTTAGTTTTTGTTTTTATATGTGTATGATTCTAGGAACCATCTCTCCAGCAATCTTTTTTTCTTGTACATCTTTGGTGAGAGTTCAAGATTTTCTCATAGTTGGATTCTAGCTAGTTTATTGATTCGGAGCTAATGGACATTTGGGAATCAGGAAAGCTTGTTGAAGAAGAAGAAGGAAACTTTGGTTTGTGGCTCTCCTACTTGTTCACTGGTGTTGGAGCTAACCTGGTTTCTTGGTTAGTTTTACCGAGAAATGCTGTTTCTGTTGGAGCCTCGGGAGCTGTTTTTGGGTTATTTGCAATCAGTGTCCTCGTCAAGGCACTAACTTTTTCTTTCTCTCTCTTGTTTAAGGTCCTTGTAAATCAACCTCCTCATTAATATCTTGCTAATTTCAGCTTCTTTTTAAACTGATTTTGTAGATGTCTTGGGATTGGAGGAAAATCCTTGAAGTTCTTATATTGGGTCAGTTCGTTGTTGAGAGGGTAAGATTTTCTCAAAATTTACTCACAACATCGGTTTGGTTATAACCGTATTCCGGCTTACAGTCCCATCTTCTTATGAGTATTGTGTTTATTATACTTACTCTATATGGAGAGAATATGTCTGATGATATATATAACAAGTGGTGATACGATAGAAGCTCTTAGAATTCAGGGACGGTAATTGTTTAGTTTATTGATCTTCATAGGTAATGGAAGCAGCTCAGGCATCGGCTGGATTATCAGGAACTATATATGGTGGCTACTCTTTACAAACTGTTAATCACATTGCGCATCTCTCTGGTGCTCTTGTTGGTGTTGTTTTAGTTTGGCTTCTCAGCAAATTTCCTTCGGTATCTGTGGATCAAGAAGTTAAAAAGTCCCCGCAAAAGTGAAGAGACAATCGGGATAACCTTTTCTTATAAGGAACATACTAGCTGTCCAGTGAACGCAAGGCAGATGAAACGATTGATAGATTGACAGAATATCCTTGTAAAAATCTGAAGAACGGGCTCTAATCCGAGTTTCTTGGAGTACTAGTTCTTTTGCAGCAGAATTTTACGCTAGTTAAGAAGGGTTTTCTCCAAATTTGTGAGTATGCAGTTATTGAACACAGCAACTGTACAAATATCATTTTTATATAAGACCATTCTGTCGTAATGTACTGTCTGGCTTCGGTTCAGCCAAAGCCAGTTTAAGAAGAGAGTATATATTTTTCCGCATAACTTGAAAGTTTGGTACACTTTTGGAATTTTCTCATCAGTCATGACCACATTTGTTTCCATAGTCATCGCACACAGGTCAGCTTCAGTTAAGTTGGCCTGATTCTTTCTCTTAGCTTTGCTGCGATAGTCAGACGCCTTGTGATCATTGCTACGCCACCTTGTTGGACGCTATTTTGGCTTTCGTCTTTTTCTTATACTCAGCAACATTCGCATTATAAACATGGATTTATCGCATTTCAGTGACTCATTTTGAGGATTGAAAATCAAGTTAAGCTTAAGTCAGAGGCTTCTACTTGTGGTCGAGATACCATTTGAAGTCAATCCAACTAGGGATAGCTTCTCCTTGAAACAATTCACTGCGTAAGTCTCACATATCTTAATTCCTTTCGTTGCTATCTCTTGTCTGATCACTTGTAGCTCATGGACTTGTTTCATGATAGGCCTAGAGTCCACCATTTGATAGTTATGAAACTTCTTTGTTGCAAATTTTCCAGAGGCTTACATTGTACAACTTGTACTTCTTTTCCAAGGCATCCTAAATCTGGAAGTTTAACCTTATTGTAAACTTTGAATAGTTGGTCTTAAATGTAGCCTTTTCACACAAAAAAACCTATCGTCCCACGCTAGGACGCTCACCAAAGTAAGTGGATTAGTATTATCAGCATGCAGTACTGGTCTAACCTCGGTGAAATACTTGTCAAAACTCATGGTGCACAGAAAATTATGCATCTTCTTCTACCACGACTTGAAATTTGACACATCAAATTTGTTTAAGTTCGACGAAAGTACTGCGCTTGGTATAGACGAGACCTCAAGTTTCGACAAAGCAAGTGAAAATGTCAACTCACTGGTTCCATCAGTAGTAGCACCTCCATTGCTAAAGTTTGTCAACACTGGTATCCATCTTTTCCCAAAAGAAAAATTAAACGATGTCAGTATATAGAAGAGAATAAAATAGCGGTTAAAGCGTTTTAATTCGCTAAAGTATTCGTTCTGCACTAAGCATACCCCAAAGCATGTGGGTGTAGTTGTTGTTGAGCTTACTTTTAATTTATATAATCTTTGATCTTTCTTTTAGTTTATTTAATCTTATCTTAAAACTTAGAACAACTACAAAATGTAGATTCAAATCTTGTAAAAGACAACTTATTGTAGCAAATTCAGTCAAAGCATATTTTTGCAGAAGCAAGTCTGAGTCTGATCAAAAGATTTGACTTCTCAAATGTCTCAGCTTCACCTTCACCTTCAGCTTCACCGTCACTATCTCTCCCTCCCCCATTCTTCTACTCTTTGTTCCAGATTACCGTCTTTACATCGCCGCCGTGTAGCTTCTTCGCCAACCAACTCTCGTCTCTCTATCAACTCAACTAATTCCACCGTCTTTCGTCCTCTCACCGTCGTCAGATGTCGTTCCAGCGAAACCGGTGAGATCTTTTTACCTCGAAATCGATTTTTCCATCATTTCCTTTACACTTTTAAAAATCCAAAGTAAAATTTTCCAGACATCACACCACAATTTGAATTGGAGAAACCACAAAAGCAAGCAAATGGCATATTCTTGATCATTCTTATCAATCTTGCCATATTTATGGCTCAACATTTCTTTCAGGTACTTGTATCTTTTTGGATTATGTTGTAGGAATGATTTTTTTGGTTGAGTTAAGTATTAGTTGGTTTGATTTTTTTATTTTTTTTAATTACTAAGAGGTTCTGGGTCTAGGTCCGTACATCCTCTCATACCGTAGAGCAGGACATCTTATATGGTTTCCTCCCAAATGTCACTCGGATTGTTTGTTTGTTTTTCACTATGGTATCATAGTTTATAAAATTTATTCGATATAGGTTCGCGGGATCAAATCTATGTATTTGTATAGCGATTTTCCGGCATGGTACCAGTTTGTGACTGCAACATTCTGTCATGCTAACTGGTGAGAGTTCTATGCTTTCTTTTACTTAGTTTTTTTCTCTGGCTGATGTTAACGTTTTTCCTGATTCTTAGTTTTTGTTTTTATATATATATGATTCTAGGAACCATCTCTCCAGCAATCTTTTTCTCTTGTACATCTTTGGTGAGAGTTCAAGATTTTTAACCTCGTTTTGACTCTATCGAATTCGGAGCTAATAGACAATGGGAATGTTTCTGTGGTTAACAGGAAAGATTGTTGAAGAAGAGAAAGGAAACTTTGGTTTGTGGTTGTCCTACTTGTTCACTGGTGTTGGAGCTAACCTGGTTTCTTGGTTCACTTTACCGCCGAATTCAGTTTCTGCTGGAGCCTCGGGAGCTGTTTTCGGGTTATTTGTGATCAGTGTCCGTGTCAAGGTAGTCTAATTCTCTTCTCTCCTTGTTCCAAGTACTTGTAAATCAATCAAAAGGACTTCTTTTAAAACTGTTTTTGTAGATGTCTCCGGGTTGGAGGAAATTTCTTGAATTTCTTATATTGGGTCAGTTTGTTATGAAGAGGGTAAGAGTCTCTCAACATTTACACAAATCATCATTGTGGTTATAGTCCCATTTCTTACTGGGAATTATGTAACAAGTGGTGATATGTTTAGTTCATTGATTCTCACAGGTATTTGAAGCAGCTCAGACTTCAACTGGATTATTAGAAACTAAATTTTGTGGATATATATTTGGTGGCAATGAATTCCTGACTATTATTCAAACTGTTAGACCCGTTGCGCAGTTCTCGGGTGCTCTTCTTGGTGTTCTCTTAGTTTGGCTTATCAGCAAATTTCTCTCAGAACCAGTGGATCAAGAAGTTATACAATCCCTCCAAAAGTGAGGCAATAATTGAATGCAAAGACATGCTCTAAACCTATCTGTGTGTATTAATTCCTTTGAAGCAGAATTGAGTCACTAGTTTGTCTATGTTTACTGCTTATTAAGAGGTCTTTTTTTTTTCTTTCCAAATCTATGAGTCTGCAGTTATTGAAAATAGCAACTGTACAATACTTTTTTTTTTTATACAAGACCATTATGCTGTAATGTACATATAGTGAGAGTTCTCAAAGTATTGACTCTGGAATTTCAACAGAAGAATAGAAAAACCAAATCTCTGGCTTCAGTTCAAGAACACTGTACAAGAATGTACAAACTGTCCACTGATCCCAAACTGTGCTTGGGACTGCTTCTGGCATATGATTGGCACTCGAGCTCCGAGTTTACAAGCAGAAAGATTCATCGCTTTTGCAGTTGGAAGCTCCCGTTTCCCAACTGGAATCTGCAATAGATTAAAACTACTACCAGAGGACTGTTTTTGGTACAGCTTCTCTAACTTTGCGATCTCTATGTCCTTACATTTCAATGCATTGATAGCTTTGTTTGACTCATCAGTGAGTCCCGCGACACGCCAAGCTTCTGCTAACAGCAAGAAGGTGGAATTCTCAGGCTTCACACCAAACGCTCTCATCATCTGCAAAACCTCTTCTGCTTTCCATGGTTGCTTCACCTCTAGGTAACCCCACATCAACGTCTCAAACGTCTTTATATTTGGCGAAACCCCGAACTTGCACATCTTGTTGAAAACCCTCATTGCATCATCCATACTTCCACTGCTACACCACCCGCTGATCACCGTGGTGAAGATCACAACGTTAGGCCTGGATTCAATTATCAATGTCTCAAGAAGCTCCTCAGCTTTCTTTGGCTCTTTTGCTCTAACGTACCCTTTCGCTAAAATGCTGTAAGCGTGAGCGTCTGGTTTGACTCCTGCTTTAACCATTTCTTTAAACACTTGTGCAGCTTTCTCCATGTATCCAGCTGAGCTCCAAGCGTTCATCACAGTACTGTAGGTAATTACATCTGCCTTCACGTTACACTCCTTCATCAAGGTAAGAACCTGCACTTTCATCTTTTTATTACCTACCAATTCAAGCTCTCCAGTAATAGACATTAACTAGAGTGTTAAAGTTACCTCATCGATACCATCACGGTCCATGACTTCAACAAAGCCATTGATCAAGGAATTGAAGACCACGAGGTTCGCTTCAACTCTCATTTCCTTCATTCTCCGCACAAACCTCAAACCATCTCTCACTCTCCCTTCTCTGCAATACCCTCCCACAACTATCCCACAAGTTCTTCCGTTCGGTTTCGCCTTCTCCTTCATAACCATCTTCTCAACCACCTCACTCTCAGCTCTCACAGTCTCTCCTTTCTGCACATAACAAGTTGCAATCGTGTTATAAGTCACCGTATCCGGCCTAACTCCACACTCTTCCATCTTATTCACCACTTCCCACGCCTCCTCCACCTTCTTCTTCTTGCACCAGGCTTGCACCAGCACATTAAACGTCCTTACATTCGGTCTAACATCGACGTTGCTCTCCTCCAACATAAGATCCAGTAACTCAGATGATCTCTCAGGCTTACCTGCAATCCCATACCCTTTAATCAAAGTGTTGTAAGTACTCGTAGTCGGATTTAGACCAAGTTCTTTCATTTTCAACAGAGCCTGCACCGCATCTTCCATGTTACCGGACTCAGAGAAAGCGTTAATTACAGCATTGAAGAAGATAGAATCAGGTTTGGTCCCGCTCTGTTCCACTTCAGAGACTATAGAGCTTATGGAACCATACTGCTTCTGAACCGTCATTGCAGCTAAAAGAGTTGTGTAACTGATCAAAGACGGTCTATGACCCGTCTCTGCCAATGTCTTGAAAACAGTTTGCGCCTCGTGAGGTCGTCCACGTTCAATCAAAACGTTCATAAGCTTCGTTCTTGACCTCACTGTCCTACAACTACTTCCTTCACTACATGACTTGCAGAAACGATACTGTCCTGTAGTCTGCAAAACAAAAAGTAAAGCCTTTTGCTCACCAGAAGGTGGAGATTTCATTATCAAGATTTTAAACTCAAGATTCGACTTATCAAGATCTTATTAAACTCAAATCAAGAAAATTGTGTAGTGATTTTCATGTTTAAGGATACAGATTATTGATATTGTTTACCTTAATGAGTGTGGATATTTCTGGTTCAGACATAGGAAGTACTTTCTTCTTCTCCACAACATCTCCCATGTTTTGTCGGAAAAAGAATCTGTTTCTGCTACAATGTAATTTCACAGATTCAAGATTAAGAAACGCCACCTGTCTTACACTTCTTAAGAGATAGGGTCCATAGAAAAAGGAAAATGTTTTTATTTATTCTGATAAGGAAGGAGGACAAAGAAATTGAGATAAGGAAAATAAACGACAAATTTTTATGGAGAAATTTGTGTTTGCTGTCCACAAATATTTCTTTTATATTTTCTATTTTGTTCTACTTTTCTCGATAATATATATTGGGCCTTCAGAATTAATGGGTCAAGGAATAAGGCCCATTTTTGATGTCTCGTTTACCATGTCGAGTGAACGTTATCAATATCATGCAGATTATATCTATTTGCTCCATATGAAGATCTTTGTGAATGATTTGATTGAGAATATAAAAAATTTTGTAGTTTTACATCCATTTGGATTAACAAGAGAAGATGTCTATGAATGACACAAATTATATCAAAAGGACGAATCATCTTCTATTCTGCGAAAATTAATGGAGATAGATATTATATAGATCAATATTTTAATATTCAGTTCTATTTATATTATTATTTTTTTCTTTTTTTTCTAAATTAAGATTATAAAAATTTATGGTATTATAGGGTTTTTTTAGTTTTTATAATGATTAAGTCTCTTTTATTTAGTTTTTTTCTTTTTTATCATTTTATTAAAAAAAATTGAGATTTTCTCTTTATTTCTTTTTTTTTGTTTTTTTGATATTTTATTATTTTCGAAAAGTTATTTTCTGGATATTCGAAGAATCAATGATAAAAGTTAATATTATTAATATTTCCATTGTATTAATCATCTTAACCACTCATTGTGAATTTGAGTTTATTTTTCTTTTTTCTCAGAATCCCAACACAAATAGTGCACCTAACAGTAGCCTCATATAATGTACAAAAACATAATTAACAAGAAGCGGGGATAGCTCAGTTGGGAGAGCGTCAGACTGAAGATCTGAAGGTCGCGTGTTCGATCCACGCTCACCGCATTTTTATTGTTTTTGTTGAGCTCAATGTATAAAACGACTTCACTTCATATTTCATCTGCATGTCCAGTTAAATAAGCCTTTGGTATTTTAAAGCCCATTATATTTTTTTCTACTTTATATTTTACCTTTTTTTTTATATATCCGATCGACTGATCCGATCAGCTCCGGGGAGAACGCACCGAAGTGCTACCATGTGGACTCGTCGCCAACACCTAGATATTGGACTACCACACTGTCTAACCCCAAGTTTGGAATGTTTTCCGACTAATGCCCGGAGATATCCAGTTAGCCTAATCCGGGATAACATGTGAATTGCTTGGACCAAAACTCAAGCCCAGACTTCCTACACAGATGTGAATTTTGTTTCCAAAGTGGATCGAACATGTGTTAGTTCCTTCCAACATTTCTCTAATTCTTCCTTACCACTAGATCACAGCCGTGTGGGTTTATCTTTCACCTTTTTATGAGATTTATATGCTAATTAATATTAATTAACTTTTATGTGCTTAAGTGATAGATAGTTAGATACATCTCTAACACATAAGACATATGAGCCATTGCACTACTTGCTAATTGATTCTGATTTGGAAATTTATTAATATTGTTGACATAGTATCGATTCAAACCCCGAATTAGAAATATTATTGATTCTATAGTGGAATTTAGTTCGATGTGAGTCATGGAATAACTTTGTTATTTAGAAGATGATGTGTCGAATTCATGAGCTTTATATATTGAACATGTATTTTTTCCTCCTTTTTTGACATTTTGTTCAATCAATTCCGACTCATTGTTACCAAACGTTTTCGAATTGAACATATATATCTAAACATATTGAAAAAGTTTCCAAATGGAGGATAAGTGTGATCTAGTAGTCACCCACTTAACAATACATAATTGGTCGACTAAAACAAAAATAAAAATGATAGACACAAAACATAATCTGTCTAATCTCTTAGCTCTAATTTGGCAAGAGTAGATTGGTGGGAGCTAAGAGCTTAAGACCCAAACCTCACCTTCCAACTACCCAACGATATGAATATTTTGTAAAATGCAGAAACACCAAAATGTAACCATCATCCATTAATTTTTCTTTTATTCCAATATATTATTATACTCATTGATCACATCACACTACACTATATTTTATTTTCCATTTTGACAAGGCGCTGACTATTACGTGGATATATGTAGCCGTACATGAGGACGAAGGATCATTGTTTTCACACATCATCTTCTACTATCTATGCTAATGACTCCAACCAAATTTATAATCCATGTTTAATATTAGAGAATTAATGTACGTCCATCTATATCAATGACTAGAAATTAGGCCAATGAACATTTTGGTTATGCAGAAGACAAAGATGTCCATATGCATGGTGTTTTTCTAGGATTGACACACGGATTTGATAAAAAAAAAATATCAAATAAAATTTTAGCTAATTAAATATTTAATTAGAAATCTAATACGAAAAAGTAAATTTTGTGGCTGAAAATTTTTGTGTACTTAGCTTGAATAAAAAGATCACACATACAAACAAATATAAGCTTACCCTACGATTGAGTTACTACAATATTTTATGTTTTTGAAGTACGTTACATATAATAACTATTGCTATGTTCAGTCTAAATACATTGATATAAAATATATACGTGTCACGATCATGTCGGTAACCAATTTTGAGAAATTAAGCTTTAATGTCTAAATATATACATTGATATAAAATATATATGTGTCACGATCACGATCATGTAGATTCGAAATTCCC